AGAAAAATAGAAGTTCTGCATATACTACCTCCTTTAGTCTCCTAGGGGTAGAGTGCAGCCTCCCCCAGGAAATCGATAATGTTGGTGAAATCAACAACATGAGCACTGGCAGGTGTGAAGCAAAGAAGCATCCAGGTGTGGGTCTCAGAGAGCCTCCTGGAGGGAAGAGTTGGGAGCTGGGTTTGGAAGGAGGAGGAAGCTGGAGTGGCTGCCAGGAGAACGGAGTGTGTCCAGGTTGGGATCCTGCCAGCAGCAAAGGCAATTAAGTGAAGCCAGCAGGGCTTGGAGCAGAGGATGGTCAAAAGGGGAGGAGGTGAGGCAGAGCCAGTTAAGCCTGAGTGAGCACAGGGCAAAAAGAAATAAAGGTATTGTGGAGGGAGCTCGGAGAAAGAGGGAAACTGCTGGTGGCTGGGATTTTGAATTTAGTAAAACTGGGGTGTTCCTCAAGGAGCCCTGGTGGCGCAGTGGTTAAAGAGCTTGGCTGCTAACTGAAAGGGGAGCAATAAAGATCACAGCCTTGGAAACCTTATGGGGCAGTTCTGCTTTATCCTAGAGGGTAGCTATGAGTCAGAATCGACTCGATCGCAACGTTTTTTTTTTTTGGGGGGGGAGGGTATCTCGAACTCTAACAGTAATGTACGATGAGAAATGTAATAATAGATGAGAGTCTCATCTTCAATCACAGCCTCAACCCCCTGCCCGAATGAAGCAAGGATCCGAAGTTCTCCCCAAAGGACCTAGGCTGATAGCTCCCTTTCTCTGTCAGCTTCATTCAAAGTCCTGATGCTCCCGGCCCAACCACTGCGTTCGACGGAGCCGTGGGGCAGGGACCACCTGGGTGGGGGAAGGGCTGTCGTCTGGACAGCTGCCTCCTGGGCAGGGGAGGAAGGGGGAGCTGCCGGGGAGAGGAGAGCGGCCAGGCCACGGGGCCTGACTTAACCTGCAACATCTCCCAGCTTGGACCCACATCTGGGGTTTCCGGAAACGTGACCTGAACACTCCTACTACCACTCA